ATTTGGTCAGTTAAAGGAGGCGATTAGGGAGGACTTTTTGGTCATTACAAAATGAGTTTTCAGAGTGGGAAGATGGAGGCGTTTGAGCATGCTGACATGACGTGGCTTGGTTTAACAGGATCGGTTTGGCCGCGGTGCTGAGCTTAGCCTGAAGGATGGGAGAGAACTTGGAGAGCTTATGTTCCTGGCAGTGGCTTTCATGTAGACATTGTACTGCATTTAGGAGAGCATTAAGCACTTAGGTGGTACTCACAGCAATGACCAGGCACTTTTTATAAGTTTTCTGTAAAGAGTTTGCAGAGTGGTTGGCTTAAGCAGGGCAGAACAGCTATCCAGATGGTCCCAGCAATTCAGGTGCTGATCCCAGGAAACAGACTCTGCCAAGATTTGCTTGGGAAGCCTCACAGAAGTGATATTTGATTCGCCTTAGCATTTTGACTTTTACCCCTACTAGATGACTGCTGCCTGCTACTTAACTTTTTGAGATGATTTATTGCCCTGTTAAGCCATAGCTTAAGTATATAATTTAATATGTGGTTGTATCAAACCTATTTCGTTATATAATTATATAGTTTAATTAGCTTAATTCTTAGTTCTGAAGGCGTGGCACCATAATCTCTACTTCACAGATGCAGGGGCTAAAGTAACTTACTCTTTATCATAGCACTTTATAGTTGGTGACATTCCCATTCTGATGCTTTGTACTCAGTCCGGCACCAACTCCTGTAGACAGCAGCAGTGCTGCATTGCAGGTCTGGCTGGTGACAGGGAAGATGGGAAAGGCTCCATGGGAGTTGAGAGCCTGACTGACTCGAGAAACCCAATGTCAGTCATCTGGGAAGAATTATGTTTGCTTAGAAGTAGCAGAAATCATGTCTTGGTTCATGGGTTTTGAGAAAGATTGGCAGATTTTGCTTATAGAAGGCAGAGCCACCTGCCTAGGCTCATACACAGACATGTCAGGGCAAGAGGCGATGGAGGCAGCCTGGGCCATAATCCTTTTCCCTGACCACGGGGTTGCTGTACTGGACGCATTTTGTAGATTAGGTATCTAATTGTTGGAGGACAGTGAACATGTCCATGACTGTAGGTCTAGGATGTCACTTTGCTTTTGCTTTTTCACCTCAGGGTCTAATGTAACCCAGATGGGCCTCTAGCTGGCTGACACTGAGAGGAGCTGAGGGTCCTGATCCTCCACTTTCTACCTTTGGAGTGGCTGGGATTATAGACCTGTGTGCCTGGGAGTTAAATCCAGGGTCTCTGGGTGTGCTAGGCTAGCTGAGTTACATTTCCAGCAGACTGTAGATCTAGGAGAGCTAGGTTGTGTGGTCAGAATGTATGAGAGCGGATAACTAGTTTCATCAGATTTCAGTAGATTCAGAAGCAGAAGTTGAGGGGACAGTTTTTAGTCAAACTGCAGCCTTCTAACTAGGCCCTGCCTGTGGGGAACCCAAGCAGCTTCTACTGCTGCTGCTGCTCCTGCCTCTGCTGTGACTGTTCCTCCTCCTCCTCCTCC